AAAAAAACAAAAAAAATCTATTTAAATAAATGTCAATGAACTAGTACCTTGATAGAATTACGTATTCTTCAATATATTAAGAAGTTACAATGAAAACGATTTGACTTTATGCAGAAATTTTAAGACTTAATGAAATAATATATCCACATGTGATAAACTTGTACCTAGATAGAAATCTAGTTCTACTATATTGATCGACTATGTTAATAAGTACTCAATGTTTCTTGTTTGAAAATTGAGAATAACAATCTATAGTATAAAAACAATGAATAGCTACCCATTGTACCATTGTCATAACAATGCAAATTTTAATTAGCTTTTCAAAATTATATAGGTACAACAAAATGAAAAGAGACCTACATTCAACGGTAAAATAGAACTCGCACCGTTATATGCTACCTGCATAGTAACACGAACATAAAGAACGTTCATGTTTCCTTTGTAAGTACGTAGATAACGAAAGTGCAAGTTACAGTAAAACTGATTGAACTCGTCAAAACGGCTGGAACTGGGTAAGTTATGGTTTGGAATAACACATAGACCGCGGACGAAGCCGCTGACAGAGAGTATTACATAAAATTTGTGAGTATTGTTAAGATATTATGTAATTATGAGATAAGCAACTTGAGTAGGTATCTATGTACCAAATGCAAACCAGTTTACAGTAGTCTGTTTTAAATAGGTAAGTATATATTAGGTAATACGGGTAACACTCACGCGGCACATGTAGTGATTGACTATGTATATTTAATGCAAACAAAAAATGCTACGGTACCTACTGCTACGAATGCAACGCATTAAATACAAATTACAACGAATTCACTATGACTTTCAAGAGATTTAACAATAATTTTAAACTCCTTCAATAGTAGGCTCTTCGACTAAAAAATTGCATTGCTCATCGTAAAACTGTTACCTCTAATTTGCCACTATAAAAAACGTATTGTGTCTTGCTCGGATGTACCACGGGTTAAAATGACAATAAAAGTAATAGGTACTAAAACATGTCCAAGTACTTACATTCTCCATAAACTTGATTGATAGCTTGGAAGTCTTCCATGCGCCCTAAATAGATGTTGGTTTTCACTACGGACTCTAGAGAAGCACCACCTGCTTCCAGCACGTGCCTTAGGTTCTCGAGAGCCTGTCGCGCCTGTGCCTCAGCACCACCACTCACTAATGTGGCCGTCGTGTCCATTCCAAGCACCCCAGATACATAAAGAGTTTTATCCGCTAATATTGCCTGGCTAAAACATTATACTGATACATTTAACGAAATCTACTAAATGTAACTCAAGGAAATCAACAAAATATTCTTCTTGGTGGCATCGTAAGTAAATGATAAATATTTATAAAATAAATACAAAATACAAACCTGTACGGCCCTACAGGCTTATAAATATCTGGCGACGTAATAATTGTCTTGGTAACTTTGTGCACGTTTGTATTTGACGAATTCATCTTCGGAACATCGGAAGCGTCCGTCTTGGGTTTAGTTTCAACGGTTTCAACCGTTTTCTCTGCGTTTGCACTCATCGTGAATAAACCAAGTAGGTACGCGCAGGGTCAATAGTTCATTACTCGATATGTTACAACTGATAAGCGGTTTGTTTGGTGATAACACGATAAATTATACAAGTATCATTTTGAATTTAATGTTTTTAACAAATTATGTCAAATAAGTAAAGGATGACAACGTCAAGTAATCCTAGCATAGATTGGTAGTAGAGGGCTATAGGAAAAGTATAAGTTTTTATCTTTATTGTCTCTAACAGCTGCGAGAACTAATTATATGTTGGCTTTGATGCATACTTTGATGCCACCAATCAAAAGAAAATGTAAACATCCCAACATTAAATCACGTATTTGAGCATTCGTGAATATAACGCATAATTATGCAAAATTAACGCAGTGCAACACATTTCTCACAAACATAACACACAGATCCGAAACAAATTTCCGCGGTTCGTTGGGCACATTTGCACAATTTATGTTGGAATGTGCGATTTCGATATGCAAGATAAAAGTTTAAAGAAATAAATAAAATGGCGTTTACCCGTATGAACTGAAGGAAAACTATAACAAGACCAAAAGTTTGAGGCGCCAATGAGGTGCTTGCCTAGAGCTCTAGATTTAATCCGCCACTAGTAGTACTTATAAATAGATATGTAGGTACTCACATTCTGCATAAACCTGATTGACCGCTTGGAAATCATCCATTCGTGCAAGAAGGATAGTAGTTTTCACGACAGACAGGAGAGAAGCGCCGCCTGCTTCTAGCACGTGCTTTAAATTTTCGAGAGCCTGTCGTGCCTGCGCTTCAGCACCTCCACATATTATCTGCGCTTTTTGATCCATGCCTAACAATCCGGACACGTAGAGTGTTTTATCGGCCAATATAGCTTGACTGAAATTTAAGAATGTAAGTACCTATCTAAGTCATTATAAAAGAAAGAAATAAAACTAGTTTATGTGCATGGTACATAAAAAAAGTCATCGTCATGGTACAAAATGGCAAGTGCTCAGCATGATAGCGTTGCCTAGTATAATGGCTCGAGTCACGGCGCTGATTTTCAGCAAAAAATCAATCAATTGCATACTCTTAGTAAGTTACCTACTTAGTTAATTCAGGTAGGTATACTTACCTAGTACCTACGAAAGCCTAATTACACGCGAGGTCGTTATCAATTATATTAATTCCAATAATTTATAGGGGCTACTTACCTAAATACCTACCTATCTACTTAATCTACTATACATATTCAATAAATATATTAATGATCTCATCATCATCTCATCAACTGCCCACTACTGAGCAAAAATCTATTCTCATATGGATAGTTGATAAATGCTCGGTATAAGCTTTAAGCTCCACGCTAGCTCAAGGCGAATTACCAATTCCTTAATTAGAAATTATAATAAGTCCAGGTTTCCTCACCATGGTTTCATTCATCGTATGGTAGTGCATGAAAACATAAAAACATAACATCACACCTTTTATCCCCAAAGGGGGAGGCAGAGGTGCACATTGCAGTATAAGTGCATGAGTGTCTAAATAATCTCAGAAAGATAGGAGATTACTCGAAAAAGTCACATTGTTACTTGCCAGGAATCGAACCCGCATGCTCCTACATGCATGAGAAGCTGATATTCTAACAGACCACCACGACCTTTTAGGTGGATAGTATAGATACATACCTAATTACTTACATAAAAATAATACTATTAAGGTACCTTCTTATTTAATTCATGTGAAAGTACCTGTATGGTCCAACGGGTTTGTAGATGTGTGGCGATGTAACTATAGTCTTAGTAACCGTGTGAGCATTCATTTTTCCTGTGTTGTTTGGCATCTTGGACAAACAACTCAACTTCTGAATATATATATATTTCCCGACACTGCGAATATGTATACCTATATAGGATGGCTTACTTCAATTTGTCTTATTGGTTGGTTTGAAATATAAATCCAACATGCAACAAAAAATCGAGAATATCAAATACTTAGACAGTATTTAAAACATAAACTATCTAAAATGGAAAGTCAAATAACTGAAAAACATTAGTTTAACTAAAAACTGACAACGCACGATCGATTGTCTTAAATGGTCAGTAAGATTACCTGTATTTTTAATATCTAAATTCTTTACAACCATAATTCCACAAAAGAAGAACAATTTACATTATATCTAAGTAGGTAGGTTAATAATCTTACGCGTTCATGATTGAGTAAACATTGAGTTTCTAGAATCGTGTCGTTAACACGGTCATGGAATACAATGTGGTAAAATAATTATAAAACAGTGATAACTATTGTAAAGAATTAAGGTAAATAATCATGAACCATAAACTAATAAACGTAATAATGAAGGAAGGCTATTATCAGTTGTGACAATGTCAATTTCTAATTTATAGGCAATGCTACCTATTTGCATTTGGTCTACGATTGTACACAGGTGTTTCTGAAGTCAACAAACAAATGGCACCAGGTGATTGGCAAGGTTCCAAGAGCTATCAGAAAAATAAAAAAAAATTCTAAGTCATATATAAAATTCATAGTCTTTAAATAAAAATAATTTATGTGTTATCCTCGAAAAAGTACACCCTGTGCTAGTGTTTTGATCCTTGCTGCTACAATTCTTTAGGTATAGTTTCGTAATTTTTTCTGATAACTCTTAGAGAGTTACCTGGTGCCATTTGATCGTCAACTTCAGAGACAGCCTGTATGTACGGGCTAGACGCCAGTAGGTAAGTATATACTCAAGTCTGTAAATGTCATCAATAGGTACCTGTTTACCCAATACCTACATTTTCAACTACTGGGTGTGAATGAGGGGACTAAGACGTAAGATGGGACCAAAGAGAGTAAGTATGCGTAAACGAGATACCGTGGACCGAGGCGGTTTTAGAAAATAGATTTCGCACAGTCTTTACATGGCCTTCTCAGGTTAAGCAATCGATGAAAATTTTCGAACTTGCCAAAAACGAAGAAATGCGTTGGTGAAATTCAAATAGGTAGGCACACTAACTTCTGCCAGCGGTTTCACTCGCATTCTCGTGGGACAAAAGTTATTCCGGACCATAATCTACCCCTGTTTCAAATTTCATCCCTATTTCTTCAGCCGCTTTGACGTGATTGCGTAACTAATATACAAACAAACACACAAACCTTTAAACTTTCGCTGATGAAATGATATTATTGGTAAGATGTACAATTTGGTTGCAATTAGCATGACAGAACTCTTAGTCTTAGTCAACTTTTGAAAACATAATTCAGAAAAGGGAGTTGGGAGGATCCTTCAGCCCAATCATGGCTCAACAACACATCTTAATAATATATGACCTACGATAAAACTTAACGTTTATCAATTTTAAGAGTTTAATATCACAACTCGTTTTCCCTCCATCCTTAGAATGGTAATTAAGCTCCTCTCTTTCAGTCCCTTAAATGGTAGACTGCCCCAGAAAGTCCCGGTCCTCATCACCTACTTGACAGGACTCGAGTCTATGTACACGCGCCTGTGGAGTGTAACACAAGGTAGACCAAGGTCGGTACACTTTTTTTATTTTTTTATATATATTTGATGGGGCGACGTTTGACCACTATCTCGCCTGGTGGTAAGCGATGATGTGGTCTACGATGGAGCACGTCGTCCCATAAGCAACCTATTCACTCGGGCCTTGAAGACTCCCAGGTTATACCCTTTAGAAAATTCAGACTCTGGCAAAGAATTCCAATCTTTAGCAGTACGCACAAGGAAGATTGAAGCGAAGCGCTTCGTACGTGTGGGCGGAACATCTACCATGAATCGGTGACGCTTCGCCGATTGTCTTGTGGTACGATGATGGAAAGGACTAGGGGGAGTCAAGTTGTGCAATTCCCCCGCACACTCACCGAAATGTATCCGGTAGAAAACCGAAAGGCTTGCAACCTTACGCCTGTGTTCGAGGCTTTGACGCCGAGCCTTCACAAGCGCATCATCGTCGATGAGCCTCTTGGCACGCCTCTCAATGTGCTCTAACGCGTCCAGCTGATATTTGGCCGAGCTGTCCCAAAGATGACAGTAGTACTCCATACAGGACCAAACTTGCGCTTGGTACAGGCTCAGCAATTGTTTCGGCGTGAAGTACCGTCTCATCCTCCATAGGATACCCAACTTTCTACCTGCCAGATACGCTTTTGACTCTATATAGGAGCCAAAGTTGAGTATGTCAGAGTTACGCCAAGAAGTTTAAGATATATCTATCGGTACGGATACATTCCGGAAAGTAGGGGTCAGCGGAAATTGACTCCGTTTAGCGGAGAATAAACACGCCTGGGTTTTGCTAGCATTGAACCTAACCAAGTTGTCGTCACCCCAGTCGGAGACCGCCTTCAAGGTCAAGTTCAAACATTCGACCATGGTTCCTCTTAAATACCGGATCTGTGTTCCGCTAGTCCGCGCATCGGACACATACCATTGAACAACTGTGCTGCCATCTGCATCTCTAAAGATACCGGGCTTAAGCAGGTCGTTTATGTGCAGCAAAAAAAATTTTTTAAGGGGGAAAATCATCGAATGACTGCTCCCGCCTGGGTGTGGCGGGAGGGAGTGTCAGACTCTTACTGACCAAAAACCACCCCGTTCCTTTTCCTGCACGTCGAGCCGGAGCCCCGGTAACGTTAGGTTAGGTTAGGTTTTTCTCGACTCCGAATCGGCATCGGCCCTGTTAGGCCCATCTGTGGTGGTCTGATGGCTCTTTGAGGCGCGCGCGGAACGCGACGCGCCGTACGCTCGAGTCTATTTCTGGCCGGACGGGGAGCCACCCATGCTCGTCGTCCGCAGGCCCTCGCTTACGGTGGCCGCGCGAGGTAGGTACACTATGGTTATGTTCTAATATAGGTACACTGTGCGCACTGGTCTTACTGCTAAATAATCCGTTCCGTTATGGACTACCAGTATACTGCTACGTACCCTAAAGTCCTCAATCGCCGAAATATTTAACTGTGAGCACTGGAGATGTCAAGGTAAAGTCGTTTATTACGAGATGAATTTAATAGAATGTTTTGAAAATATATTTTGTTAGTGTTACACAATTTTTTAATTTTAGGTTTGTTATTTTCTGTCGTAAATATGGGGGAAACTATATAATTATTCACCTTTCACTAATTTTGAAAACGCTGTCGAAAAACAGTAGGTATTAGGTAACATAATTTGTAATAATAAAAGTAACCCATACACATTAGAATCTGGTCAGGAAGTAGATCCAATGTCACCAAACTGTACTTATAAATACTTAGGT